TAGTCTCCAAATAACACCAAAGCCCACTGCTTACTTCCATAAGGGTTGTCCCCAGTTACCGAAATAGCAGATCTGTAAATTGGTATAAAACTGTCATTGCTGAGATCTTCAAAGAAAAAAAACACCTTTCAGTGGCATAAAAGGTTCAAGAATTCAGAGAAACATTTATAGATTTTTTTTATCTTAGTCCTTCAGCATGGAAGATCTTAGATTATGACTTTTGCTTTCAAATAACTATAGTCCGATTACTTGAATTTTATTTTGCTTTTTTATGAGATCCTTAAAAATGAGTCGTTATGTATTTTGCATTTCTTAAAAGGTTCTTCCTTTTCCATTTGTAATTAAAACTGTAAGGTTTATTTATCAGGAAAAAAAAAAAAAACTCCCAAAGGACCTCTGTAAGTTGAGGTACTCCCTCTAGTACTCAAAGGACTAGAACAACTGGTCAACATACAGAGGTGGTTAACCTAAGGGACTAGGCCCACTGTACTGATACATGCATGTGGTACGTGTCCAGCCTATGAAAATTAGGTCAACTGTAGAAGGTGGTCGATGTAGGGATGTGATCAACTATATGGTTCTATTGTATCTTCCTTCAGAAATCTATCCTACGAATCTATCAACTTAGTTTGGTAAGATATACCAGACAAAAATTACCTAAGACAAATATACCTGATATTCAACAAATAACAATGTGAAATGAATTAATTAATCACACAATTAATTCTCCACTTTTGGCAAATGTCTGATTTGGTTCTTAAAGGCTCAGATACAAAATAAGAGCTTAATGTCATGAGGAGTCTTGTACATTTGCTGAGCACCAGAAAAACCTTAAAAGTAAACTTAATTAAATTCAAGGCAAAAAAGAGATGTAGCTCCTTCAGAATAACGTAATTAGAGACACGACTACAGGGAAAACTGAAGGGTTGAAAAAGAAGATGGCCCCTGGTATCAGAAAGATCAGGATTTGAGTTCGGTTACTTAGCAGCTGTGTGGCCTTACACAAGCTACTTAATCATTCTGAAATTCAGTTAATTCAGCTATAAAATGAGAAAAATGATAATATCACCTCCCAGAATTACTGCAAAGATTCAGTGAGTTAAAGGAAACAGCACCTGCTACATGGGACATGGGATGTATGTAATAAATGTGCATTTCCTTCTTTTAACTCTTCCCTGTGCAAGACTGATGTGGCAGATCTGGAGAATCTGTAATGGTTGTGAAGCAGTTGGTTCTTTGAAAAAATGTGTTTAAATGATATTTTTAAAATACGTAAGGCAATTCTGTGTTGATGCTACAACACAGATAAACCTTGAAGACATTATGTTCAGTGAAATTAGCCAGTCACAGAAGGACAAATATTGTGCAACAGCTCTTACATGAGGTCCCAGAGTAGTGGGATTCATGGACACAGAAAGCATAATGGTGGTTCCAGGAGTTGGGAGTGGAGGAATGGGGAGCTGTTTAATGGGGATGGAGTTGCAGGTACAACAAGTGAGAGAGTTCTGGAGATGTGTGGCAGTGATGGATGCCCAACAATATCAATCTACTGAATACCATGAAATCGTACCCTTAAGAATGGCGCAAATGGTCAATTTTATGTTATGTAAACTTATCACACACATGGAAACATTGGAAAGTGCTTGGTATCTAAAAGGATTTCATAATAAAGTTTCTTCAAAAAATACTTATTAGGTAAATAAATAATCATATTGTAGTTTAGCTGTGCCAGCTCCAAGGATATGGGAGAAAATCAGGAACTTTATCACCCGGTAGAGATACTTGCTGTCTACGTGAGTCAGGCCCTTGCTGCTGGGTAATATTCCACTAGTGAGGGACAATAATATTCCAGTAAGGAATCCCTAGAATGGCTGTTCCAAGCGTTCACTACATTTTTCAAGCCCTCTGACCAATCCGTCTTGTCACCTCTGGCAGGTGATCTTGCCTGAAATCTATAAGGGCAGTTCTTCCCTAAATTTTCTTCAGTTCCAGTCCAAGCCTAACTCTATTCATGAACCTCTGTAACCCCCATTTCTCAGCCTCTAAAGAGGAAGTTTACTATTTTTCCTTATGTTTTTGGACTCACCCTCTTCCCATCTCTTTTAGGAACATGCTTGTCCTTTGGTCTTTTGTCTGTCCTTTCCCTGCTTCTATTTATACAGTGTCTAGGTATACAATACTACTCTAAAATAAAGACATTCCTGCTACCCTTCCTCTGTAATCTATCTATCTTTAATTGCTTTTCTAAAAAAAGTAGTCTAAAGTCATTGTCTTTACTTGTTAACAGCCACAGCACTTAACCATTGGGATAGAGTTTCTAATGCCACTATTATAAAGTTTTCTCACTGAGATAGCCTCCAACTTGGTTAAATATGACAGGCTTATATTACTTACTGCTCATCCCAACTTGACCTCTTGGCAGCATCTGATGTTACTGATTACCTCCTCTTTTGAAACTGTTCTTAAATGATTCTTTTTCTAAGTATGCCCTCTAAATGCTGGAGTGTCCTGGAGTCCCCTGCACAGCCCTCTCTCATTTTGCTCAGCTAGCTCTGCTGGTGTAATCTCACCCACTCACACACGTGTGACTCCACACTCTGCATCTGTCACTCCCAAACACTGGAGTTACATTTCCAACTATCTGCTAGTTATCTGCATTTGGCTGCCCCACTCTAAAATGTCTAAAACCAAACTCAATGTTTCCTTTCTACTCTCCCATCCCAGCTATGGGTTTAAAAATAAAATCTTCAGCCTTTTTCTAGTCTTCTATCTCTTTCATGACTGCTCTATGTAATTCCAGCAGTTTCACAAATTCCACCTCCCAAAACCACACTCTGAACTCAGCCTTCTCATCTACACTATCAATGCATTAATCAAAGCCCTTGCCTCACTCATCTCCTAATTAGTCCATTCTCTTTAGTTTTTCCCTTCCAGTCCATTTTCCACGTTGCTAGGGGATGTTTTTCTCAAGTGCCAATCTGTGCCATTCCTCTGATTTCATAACTTCCAGTGATTCCCCTCCACCAGTAGGGAAAAGACTCAATGTATACACGTGGCCCTTTCCAATCTGATTTTCTGCTACTTCCTCACTCCCCAATTTCATTAAACCCCAAACCCCACCTCAACTTCTCAAAAAATGACAGTTGGCACTCCTACAATTTGGTGCATGCTATTTCTAAAATGTGCTTCTTGTTCTCCTCATGTGAGCAGCTACATACTCTGGAAGACTCAAGTCAAAGGCCAGTCTTCCCAGACTTCCCCCAACCAAATTAACTGCAAGCTTCTAGAGTAGCAGGGCTGTGGCATTTAACTTGTTTTTTGCTCCCAAGTCATCCATGACACCCACACTGTGCAGTACCACAAGACCAGGCACTCCGCCCCATTCAGAATGCTTTCACCCGACCCAGATCCCTAAGGCCTGTGTGGTAGACCTCCCCCGTCTCAGGCCCCCACCCCCTTCCATGCTCAAGGTTTCCACCACATACTGATGGACCACAGCTAACATATCTACTATGAGGCCATTCTTCATTCACCTAACTTTTATTAGTTGTAGAGATACCTGGATGAGACTGGGCCTGTCCCAGTGAAGGTCCTCAGCCTTGCAAGAAAAACAAACACACAGATGCTGATAACACATTTTGTAGAAACCCAGTGATGGAATGACTTCCAGAATATTCTGCAAAGAGGGGAATGGAGGAGGATGATTTACCCAGCAACCGGGGGGCACTGGGAATTGAAGAGGCACTCGGTGAAAGCTTCTAGGACTCATGACGCCTGAAGACTTAAAGACCATACAGCAAAGAGGGACTAAGACAGGAAAAGGAAAATACATCAATTGACCAGATCGATATTTTGTCAACTGCCCGAGTACAAGTAGCAAAAGTCAAGGCAGAATCTTCATGAATTTATCTAGATCTTCAATTGTGAAAATAAATAGCACAGTCAGTAATCTCCCCAGACATGCATTCTCACTCCCTGTTTTCTCTCTCTCACCCTCAGACACACAGAAAAAGCTTAATGTCTATAGGATGAAACCCAGCGGCAGTACTGAAGGGTTAGCACCTTTCTCCCTCCCAGCCCTTTTCATAGTCACTGTGATCTGAGCCGCCCACAGGGAAGGTGCACAGACTCCTCCCTCCCACTGCTCCCCCTCACTCCCCTCTGCCCCTTTCTCTCTTCCAATGCTCCCCGCCCACCCATGCACACTGCAGAGCAGGGCTACGTTATCCCAGGCTGCCCTATTTATTCACATAGGATGTTACTAAGAACAATCATGTCTTTTTGTGCTAAAAGGAACTTATCAACAATAGTTCTTTTTTCATGGCATAAAGACTACTCTTCAATTGGGAACCCTAGTTATTACTGCTATTGTGGTTTAGTTCCTTTAGGTCTTTAATTGACACAAAGTTTTATCTTAAAAGAAAAATAACCTTATTAGGAACAAAAAAATTTAAATACCCATCATCATACAATGTCACAGAAAAAATTCAGATTTAATTTCCAGTTTTGTCAGTGTTCTACTATACAACTCTTTGGTCTACTTAATCTCAAACCCTTACACAAATCTTAAAATATTCTATGTCACTTAAGGAAATTTTTTAAGTGTTTTCATTTTTTGGTTCTATCTTCTTGACCATTATTTTATACTAATTGGAAAACTGATTAAATACATGTACAGATATATAAACATAACATAAAATACTACTGAATAATCTTTCAATTTAATATTTACATTAGTCTGTTGCAATTTTAATTATATTTATTGTAGGCTAATTGCATCCCTGCGAGTTCAATTAACAAAGCATATGAATCATGTATTATATTGAAGGTAAGGAGAGGAAAAATAGACAACCTCTTGTCTTGAATCATGACCCTGAATGTCTACTAACCAGCGAGAAGGGGAAAAAAGGGAAAGGAGGAGGGGGTGGGGAGAGCACACACAAAGATAGTAAAGCAATGTGTAAAGTAAAAAAATAGTAAAGTACATTGATTGCACTTACGGTTAAAGGACCCCCTGAAAACAAGTGAGGTGAGATCCTACTTCATTCCCCTCAATCCAAGAAGCAAGAAGTGTCATTCCAGGAGGCTCCATGGTGCTAACAGGAGGCAAGAAGATGGAAGATCTCAAAATCTGAGGGGTGAATGGTATGCCAGCCACTCATCCTCCCACCTCAAGCACTTTTTTAAAAAGTTAATCATCGAATTAAATGTTATAATCCAATTTCCAAAATTGCTCTACTCCATTTAAACTGCTGTCACCTATAATAATCTTGCAGACACAAATGCACTCACTTCAAACAACATTCTCTTTAAATTTCGCAACATCTAAAGCTCTTGATCACTCCGCTTTTTTCGTTTCTGTCAGGAATACAGCTGATTCTTCTTTCTCTCTCATGCTACAGATCTAGCTCCACTTCCTAATTGTACTGCAAACCCCTCTTTTCACTGAGGCCCAGTCCTCAGTGCTCTGTTCTCTTGACATACTCAGCCGTGGAAAAATTTAATCACCACTTCCAGGTGGCAAATACTCCTTTGGGTACACAGCTCAACCTGGTTCTTCATTTTCATCACTTTAGGAATTTCCCCTTGAATGTCTAAACTCAAATGAACATTGTTATCCTCTCAAAATTGATTTCTCTTTGTAATTATCATTCTGCACATCTGAAAACCAAGACCATTTTAATTTTCTTCTTCCTCTCATCATTCTGCCGTACCCCTTCAATGTGCCCTGCTTCTCTTTGCACTGCCCCCAACTAAATCCATCACGTGACTGCTAGATTACTTCACTACGACCCACTTCCTACCTCTTTCTTCATCTTTGACATTGCTACCAGATTAATTTTCCTCAAAATAGCATTTTTTTTCCTTTTCAAAATTATGTCATCACTCCTCTTTAGAACACAGTGTGGTGATTTTAAAATCTGTTCCTAGATTCTTTGACACTCATCTCTTTAAGATAAAACCTAGCTCCTCTCTTCAATGTGGGCTTAATTTACTGGCTTGTATGTATCTAAGGAATAGAACCTGACAAGAGTGACAGTGGGTGATTTCCAAGACTAGATTAAAGATAGCACTGATGCTTCTGCCTTGTCTTCTCAGATCTGGATCTGGGGAATGCAGTGGCTCTATTATAGGGACACACAGCACTGTGGAGAGTCACACATTGGGAGGAACTGTGGCCTTCCACCAACAACCAAGACCAACTTGCCAGCCACGTCAGTGTGCCATCTTGGAAGAAGATCCTCTTCTATTTTACAGACATAATCACTCAAAGGTACAAAGATATTCCCTGTCATGTTGCTTGGAATAGGGAAAAATTAGAAGCAACATGAAATTTATCAACAGAGGAAAAGTTAAATTAAGATACAATAGTGACTAGATGGATCTATTTTGTAAAAAATGAAACAGATCAATATATACTGGCCTGTTCAGCTATATATGATGTATTAAGTGGAAAAAAAGCAAAGAAAATACAATATTTAAGAATAAACTGAGTAAGAAATGTGCAAAGCCCATCTGAGGAAAACTTTAAAACTTCCTACAAAAGGGCTTGGCACCGTGTCTGACAACTATAATCCCAACAGTTTGGGAGTTTGAGGTAGGAAGATTGCTTAAGCCCCGGAGTTTGATGTTCCAGTGAGCTATGATGACACCAGTGCTCTCTAGCCCAGGCAATAATAGAGTGATATCCTGTCTCAAAAGAAAAAAAAAAGAGAACTCCTAAAAAGCCACAAATAAAGACTTTAGTTAACTTCATAAAAATATTAGTTCATAAATTAATTTATAAATTTAATGTAATCCTTATAAGTATATCAAGTTTTTTATGGAGGTAAGACAATTGATACTGAGCCTCATACTGAAAAATAAATTTGCATTAAATGCCCAGAAAACACAAAAACACTAGAGGGAAGGCCTCATCCTTCCAGATAATGAAGAGACAGAGAAGCCAACAAGTAAAATGGAAGTTCAAAAATAGACCCAAGCACAGACAGAGCTTTAACAGTATATATGATAAAGGTGGCACCTAAAATAACTGGGCCAAAAACTTTAATAAGTGATGTTAAAACAACTGATTAGCCATTTGGAAAAAGATAAAATTAGATCCACATCTCACACTACACACTAAAATTAATTCTAAATTAATTAAGGATCTAAATGTAAGACAGTGAAGCCATCCTTGTACTAGAGGGAAAAAATGGTGAATTCTTCTCTAACCTTGATATAGGAAAAGGCTAGCTAACCATGGCTTAAAATCAGGAAGACCAAAGATTCAATAATTTTTCTTTTTCTTTTTTTTTTTTTTTTTTGGAGACAGTGTCTCACTATGTCGCCCTTGGTAGAGTGTGGTAGCGTCACAGCTCACAGCAACCTCAAACTCTTAGGCTTAAGCAATTCTCTTGTCTCAGCCTCCCAGGCAGCTGGGACTACAGGTGCCCACTACAATGTCCAGCTATTTTTTGTTGCAGTTGTCATTGTTGTTTTTTAGCTGGCCCGGGACAGATTCAAACACGCTAGCCTCAGTGTATGTGGCTGGCGTCCGAGCCACTGAGCTAAAATTCAACAGTTTGACTAAATAAAGCATTTTTAAAATGTTCTGTATGGCCAAAAACATCCCACTGTAAACAAAGGGCAAGAGACCAACTGGGAGGAGATATTTACAACATACCACAGATAAAGGGCTGATATCCATAAGACATAAGGAACTCTTAAAATTAGAGAAATAAAGACTAAAACTTTAAAGGAAAAACGGGCAAAGGACATGAGCAAACACAAATACACACACATATGTACATACACGTGGACACACATACACATACTCATATAGACATTTGAAAAGATGTTCAATTTCATGCCTAATAAAAGAAATACAAATCAAAACTACACTGAGATGCTATGTTCCCAACTATCAGATTGGCAAAAACTAAGCAGAAAAAGTCACTGATAGCCGGGCTATGAAGAAACAGGCACTTTCATACACAACTTCTTACAAAACCACCAATTCTAGGGCTGAGGCAGAGAAGGCACTACTGGAACATTGTTCTGTGCACAGAAGGAAGGGTATTTTCAAAAGATTATGGATGGGTGTCAGAAAGACAGTAGCCAGCTCAAAGGGGCTCCCCACTGGCCAAATCTGGGGCAACTTGAGCATCAAATAACAATAATAACAACAATGACAAGAAATTAAGAATAACATAAGAATCCATGAGTCCACACTGATATAAATAAATAAATAAAATGAGAGAGAGAAGAGAAAGCTCTTCTCTGGGAAAGAAAGCCAACTAATAAATGAAAAAGGAATGAAGGCATTTTAAAAATCACCATCAGTCAACCATAACAAGAATACACGAATCCAGCAAGAAGCATCAGTGGATGCTTTTACAGTGGGCTTAAAGTTTGAGGAGTAATAAAGTATGAATAAAACCTAAAAATATCATGCCACAAGTTAGTTATTATTGGTAAAGAGGGGAAAGAGCAGCTTTCCTGAGAAAAACTGGAGCAACACAGCAACGTGGCAGAAACCTGGCCTTCACCAAGGAACTAGAGTTAATGCCACCAGCAGCGGGGCAAACAGACAGCACGTCTCTGAGTATGACTCATTGAAGACATGGTGTCCGTAGCCCTGCATTT